CCCGAGGAGCTGGTCGTCTCCTTCCCCTGCTCTCAGCTTGCACTACGGTCAGGTAGAATGGGGAGGTAGCCTTGTTGTCTAGATGTGACCTGATCCCAGGGGCCTCCTGGACTTCAGGACTGGAAAAGGGAACTGTGGTCACATGTAACTATTGCCTTTTTTATTTCAGTGTATAAGGAGCTTGGACCCCCTAGTTTGTATCTATCCTGTCTTTGTGTAGGACTTGGTAACATGAAGGTGTTTGAACCTTACTTTTGACTTCATTTTTTTTTCGTACTCCCCATTAAAGTGAACCAAAAACCTTTTTACTTAGTTAGGGTCTCAACAAGTTGAGAGTCCTGTGTCTTCGATCTGCTATTTCATGGTATAAGTTATAAAAATTTTTTAAAAAGAGGATATGTGAAATTCTATCCTTTTTGATGGAAATTTCATATCTCATTTTCACTGGGGAGAAAAAGGCTCAGTATCTTGCAGTTAACGTCTCTGGAAGACTCCTGTGACATCTCACTAGCCAGCATCTAGCCTGTTTCAAGTGAGGTATTTGAGCTCTGTTCTTCCCTGGTGGTATGAAGCCAGCTCTCTCAAAGGGACAGACTCGACTGCGGTTAGAAAAGGCATTCATGATCTGAGATCTAGCTGGGCCCCCAACAGGACCTCCCGATGTACCGAAGGCTGCCTGAAAGCCTGGTGTCCTGCTTCTCCTCGGCCCCCTTTCTGGCCCATGGCCCATCGGGAGCTCAGAGGGAGGGGGTGATGTGTGCTTGACTCACCTTTGGGGTAGGCAGCTGGGAGCACTTGGATGAATGTGGTCAGCCATGCGGGAGCAGACGGCATTTCCCGGGTCAGGAGAGGCGAGTTCCTATGCAAGTGCAATATACACTTGGGGCCTTGGAGGTGGATTTCATGCCCCCCTCAGGTCACAAGACCCACCCTCCGAAGCAAACTTGCTATATCACTGATGAGGAGTGAGTGTGCATTCCAAAGCTATGGAAAGGTCACTGCCATGATGTCCCTTATGATTAGAGAAACAAAGGACAACTTTTCAGGCTGTCCACGTGCCGACTCACGGGTTATGGAGGAGGCATCTGGATGCCCACTGAGGACGCAAGTGCCTGGAGCTGTAGATGGCAGTAAAAACGCCCGAGGCCTGCACGTCTGAGGATCAGGGAGCCAGGCGGAGCCTCAAATCGTAGAAACAAAGCGCAGAGGAGCATCTCTGTTTTTATCTACTTTGCCCGTGGGGCTTCGGGGACAGTCCCCTTTCAGCAGGATTTCTTCAGCAACATCAAATTCAAGACCCAGCCAGCCTCCTTCCGAAGCTAGAGAATGTTCTCCAGCAGGCTTTCTCGTGGGTCTCCCGTGCCTGTGCTTGGCTGACACTCCCGTGCGCTCTCTCCATTCCTGCATGCATCCAGTAAGTCTCCCTAGAATCTCCAGTGTGCCATTCAGAATAGATGGACTTCCTCTTCTATAGGACTTTTTTTTTTTTTAAGATTTTTATTTTTATTTTATTTTATTTTTTCTTTTTTAAAGATTTTATTTATTTATTTGAGAGAATGAGATAGAGCATGAGAGGGGGAGGATCAGAGGGAGAAGCAGACTCCCTGTTGAGCAGGGAGCCCGATGCAGGACTCGATCCCGGGACTCCAGGATCATGACCTGAGCCAAAGACAGTCGCCCAACCAACTGAGCCACCCAGGCGCCCTAAGATTTTTATTTTTAAGTAATCTCCACACCCAGGTGTGGGGCTTGAACTCACAACCCCTAGATCAAGAGTTGCGTGCTCCACTGACTGAGCCAGCCAGGTTCTGCTATAGGACTTTCATCTAAAAATTCAGATGGTACTAGCCTGTTTCTTCTCTTGTCCCCACAGTCCCTTCTAGGTTATATAGAGCCACTCCTGGCTGACCAGTCTCTCCTTATGGGCTGTGGATGATTTTTTTCCATTCAATTTGCCTCTTCTAGAAACTGATGTCGTTTGTCAGTGGCCCTCTTAGAGTGCAGCCCTCAGAACTGATCACAGTAATGCCACGGATATTGTTTAACCTGCTAGGGTCCAGTGGGATTATTAACTAACTCCTTTGACGACAGAACACTGACTCATTCTGTTTTGATCACTGTGATGAGTTAGATGAGGCACCTTCATGTCAAGGGATTGTAATCCTTGCTTTGGCAAGTTGGTTTTCCGTCTTTATAAAGTAAGGGCGATGATGATTGCATAGGTTTTCTATTTCACATACTCCTCTCACACCTGTTTTATTTAAATAATCCTCTCCTTGGTTACCTCATAGAGAGCTGTTGTTATCAAGCACATAAGACAAGCAATATTTTATTTTTTAATTTTTTTTAAATTTTTTAAAATTTTATTTTATTATGTTATGTTAGTTATCATACAGTACATCATTAGTTTTTGATGTAGTGTTCCATGATTCATTGTTTGCGTATTGCACCCAGTGCTCCATGCAATATGTGCCCTCCTTAACACCCATCACTGGGCTAACCCATCCCCCCAGCCCCCTCCCTTCTAGAACCCTCAGTTTGTTTCTCAGAGTCCATAGTCTCTCATGGTTTGTCTCCCCCTCCAATGTCCCCCCCTTCATTTTTCCCTTCCTACTATCTTTTTTTTTGTTTTTTTGTTGTTTTTAACATATAATGTATTATTTGTTTCAGAGGTACAGGTCTGTGAAGCAGTAGTATTTTATAAAGAATTGTATACCTGTGCAGAACAAGACAGCATTAGCTTTTTCTTTTTAAAGATTTTATTTGTTTATTTGCCAGAGAGAGAGCGAGAGCAGGAACACAAGCAGGGGGAGTGGGAGAGGGAGAAGCAGGCGTCCCGCAGAGCAGGGAGCCCCATGTGGGATTCGATCCCAGGACCCTGGGATCATGACCTGAGCCGAAGGCAGACACTTAATGACTGAGCCACCCAGGCGCCCCAGCATTAGCTTTTTTAGATAGAGTTGTTTAGCTTCTTGAGTATGCATGACTAGTTAGTTCTAGAACTTGCTGTAGGATTTTATGTATATCTGGAATAATTTATTAAGCTATGATTTTCTGAATCTGAACTTTGTTTCTTTTGAGCTATTCCCAATTTAACTTTCCATTAAGTTTAATAAGTATGTCTAACAGTTTCCAGGTTGTCAGTTAATTTGTTACCAAAACAGAAGAGACTTGGATGCAGTCTTTCGAGCATCCGACCATGTTTTGGCTCAAGTCCTGATCTCAGGGTCTGAGATCGAGCCCCGTGTCGGTCTCTGCGCTCAGCGTGGAGTCTGCTTGAGATCCTCTCTCCTTCTCCCCCTGCCCCTCCTGCTTGTGCTCTCTCTCTCAAATAAATAAATCTTAAATATTTATATATATATATAACCCAGAAGAGAACAGATCTAAATCTAAGCCTCAAGGTACATATCGGTGGGAGCTCCTCCTTCCTTGACATAGATCGGCACAGAGGGCATGGTTGTTGCTTCTGACCAGGCCCTACTTCTAGAGTTACTACACTGGATATAAGGAGTGCCATAGACATAGGGACTTTTATGAGAAGGTAAAACAAATATGTCCCTAGTGATCCATCTAAGATTACTAGATTGGTAGATCAGGGAGATGTGGCGCCTCTAAAAACCAGCAGCATTCAAATGCAGATGCCTTTCGGAAACAAGATAGATCTTTAAATCTGTAGCATTTTTCTAGTTGGGTACTACTGTCAGTGGATGAAAAATCATTTATTGAATACCCACTGTGGGCCAGATGCCCCAGGCATGCGCGCTAGGGGTACAGGACTAAAGCCCGTCCTGCCCCCCAAGGAGAGGACATAGGCATGTTGGATGTGGCTTGCCGTAGGTATGCTGGCTCCTGGTGATGGATGACTGCCTCCCCTCGGCAACCACCCCCCCCCCGCCCAGGTCCCGCACACCCTCGCTCCAGGAGTCCACTGTAGCATGACAGCAGCAGGCTCTTCAGCCTGTAATAGAGGGACCCTTGCCTTTTGCGTGGGGGTCAGGAAGCAGTGGACTCACATCTAGGTTCCTGTTACTTGGGTTTATCGAGGTTTCTCACAAACTGAGCTTTTTAACAGGTGCATCTTTGTTCATCGTCCTTTCTGAGTCTAGGTTCTTCTGGGAATCCAGCCTCTAGGCTTACTCCTACTTGTTGAGATTTGAAACTTCAAAGTCCAGTTTTATTTATTTACTTTTTTAGATGTCTTCATTTTATTATTATTATAATTTTAATTCCAGGATAGTTAACATACAGTGTTATATTAGTTTCAGGTGTGCGATATAGTGATTCAGCATCCCCCCTCCCCCCCCGCCTCAGGTAACTGTCAGTTCTCCATAGTTAAGAGTTTGGTTTTTTGGATTGTGTCTTTCACTCTTTTGTTTGTTTGTTTGTTTCACACAGTTAAGTTATATGGTATTTGTTTTTCTCTGACTGACCTATTTCACTTAGCCTAATACTCTAGCTCCATCTGTATCATTGCAAATGGCAAGATTTCATTCTTTTTTATGGCTGAATAATATTCCATGACACACACACACACACACACACACACACCACTTTTTTTTTTTTAAGATTTTATTTATTTGACAGAGCATAAGCAGGGGGAGCAGCAGGTGGAGGGAGAGGGAGAAGCAGGCTCCCCACTGAGCAGGGAGCCTGATGTGGGGTTTGATCCCAGGACCCTGAGGTCATGACCTGAGCTAAAGACGAGACGCTCAAGCAACTAAGCCACCCAGGCGTCCAACCACTTCTTTATCCATTCATCTATGGATGTACACGGGCTGCTTCCATAATTTGTCTATGGTAAATAATGCTGCTATAAACATGGGGTGCATGTATCTCTTTGAATTAGTGGTTTTGTATTTTTCGGGTAAATATCCAGTAGTGCAATTACTGGATCATAGGGTCGCTCTATTTTTAACTTTTGAGGAACTTCCAGAGTGGCTGCACCTGTTTGCATGCCCACCAGCAGTGTAAGAGGGTTCCCCTTTCTCCACATCCTTGCCAACAGTTCTTGTTGCTTGTGGTTTTGATTTTTGCCATTCTGACCAGTGTGAGGTGGTATCTCATGGTAGCTTTAATTAGCATTTCGCTGACGATGACTGATGTTGAGCATCTTTTCATGTGTCTGTTGGCCATCTGGATGTCTTTGGAGCAATGTCTGCTCATGTCTTCTGTCCATTTTTTTACAGGATGATTTGTTTTTTGGGTTCAACGTCCAACTTTGAACTGTGTGTATTCTAAACTGTGGTCTGAAGGTCAGTTTCTAGATAGAGAAGACAAAATTGACATTCTGTTTTTTCTGCATTTTCTTAATCATTTATTAGTTCTGCTGTTTGCTTTAGGCACTGGCCCAACTCCTCTTAGGTTATTTCAAAAACTTTGTCAGTTTCATGGTACTGGCACATTGAGTCATAATGTCTTTGTATTTATTTGAATACACGTGTTTGGAGAGAAAAAATTGTGCTGGTTCCATATGCTGACACACTGATCTGAAGGTCCGGCTGTCCCTTTGAGCAAAGGACCTGACTTGAAAATGCTCGTAGGCTCTTCCTAGGCCAGGGCTCTCACCGAGGAAAAGGCCATGTTCAGTTCCAGCATGATCATGAGGCCCAATGGCAAGAAGCTGGATGAGCTGGAGTCCAGGCCCTCCTTGAGTTGGAGAGGAACTCGGGCCTCTGAGCCCATCTATGGGAGATGAATACAACAGCAGCCAAGGAAACTGAAGTTGGCGGTGGTTGGAAGGTTCTTACCATCTTTGTTGCCATTCCTCAACTGAAATCTTTCCAGAACATCCAAGTCCGGCTAGTCTTTGAATTGGAGAAAAAGTTCACTGGGAAGCATGTTGTCTTTAAGGCTCAGAGGAGAATTCTGCCTCAGCCAACTTGAAAAAAGCCATACAAAAAACGAGCAAAAGTGTCCCAGGATCTGTGCTTGGACAGCCGCGCGTGATGCAATCCTGGAGGACTTGGTTTTCCCAAGCAAAATTGTAGGCAAGAGGATCCACGTGAAGCTGGATGGCAGTCTGCTCACAAAGGTTCGTTTGGATAAAGCACAGCAGAGCGACATAGAGCACAAGGTTGAAACTTTCTGTGTTATCTGTAAGAAGCTCACCAGCAAGGATGTTAACTTTGAGTTCCAGAGTTTCCGTGGTAAACATAAATGATGGGGGGTGGGGGGAAGCTCGTAGGTGTCCCTCCTGTTTACCTGAGGCAAATATGGTTTTCCGTATCTCTGGAATATATAATCATTCCCCATCAGATCTTAACACAGTTCACACCTTAGAATGAGTCTCAGATTCTGTAGTGACCTTGAGGAAGTCATGCAATCTACCTTGACCTTCTTATCCCAAGTGTAAAGGGATTTTCTCTAGAATTCTCACCTCTATCCCCCATAAGAAAGAATTTCTGCTTTTTAAAAAGTAGTTACTTCATTCTTTTCATCAGCAATAATCTGAGAAAGAATGGGAATTTGGGATGCAAAGACAGGCAGGAGTGAGCTTTGAGATGAGTGGTGATGGGCAGTATCCCAGATGAGTCCCAGTGGAACTTTTTGAAGTTCCTCTGCACTCAAGCCCATATAAAAGGAGAGCATTAACTCAGATGTGTCAGGCACTGAGATGCGTCCTTCTTTACCTGTGGAGCAGGCTTCGTGCTCACAGTGGTCTGGGAAGGAAGACTACCTGTGAGAAATGGGGTCATCAGGATTAAGTTACTGACTTAGATCATACTAGAATTGGGAACACAGTTTTGGGAAGTTTTTAAAGTTTGACTTCAAGGCCTGTGATCTTGTTTGTTGTATCTATAATGTGAATGAATACTTTAAAAATTTGCAAAGGTGTGGGGGGGGGTAGGTAAGAAAATGTTAAAGCCTGTTCATTGTCTTGCATGAGGTATCAAGAATGGCAGATAATAAGAAGGGAAGAGGCATCATGGTATTTCAGATGGAAATCTATTTGGTCCTTATATTAGGACAGTGGTGGTCCCAGTGGATTCTGTTCTTTATTTTATTTTACGGTTTTATTTTTAAGTCGTCTCTACACCCAATGTGTGGGGCTCGAACCCACAACCCTGAGATCAGGAGTTGCATGCCCCACCAACTGAGCCAACCAGGCTCCCCTCTATTCTTTATTTTAAATACTGTACATTATTATTATTATTATTGTTACTACTACTACTACTACTGTTATTTTGCAAATGTCTTAACACACCTTAATAGGTATTTGTTGGGGCACCTGGGTGGCTTAGTCAGCTGGGCATCCGACTCTTGATTTCGGCTCAGGTCATGATCTTAGGGTCTTGGGATCGGGCCCCCACATGGGGCTCCATGCTCAGTGTGGAGTCTGCTTGTCCCCCTCCTTCCCTCTGCTTACATGTGTGCGCTCTCTCTCACAAATAAATAAATAAATAAAATCTTTAATAGGTGTTTGTCTTCTTCCAATAGAATGTAAGCTTTTCAGGGTAGAGACTTTGCCTTTGAAGCTAACTGGTATGTATGTAGTAGCCACTTGAATGACAGACAGAAGGAGTAATGGAGAAAGACGTTGACAGAAGAACCCATGGGGCGCCTGGGTGGCTCAGTCGGTTAAGTGTCCAGCTCTTGTTTTTGTCTCAGGTTGTGATCTCAGGGTGGTGGGCTTGAGCCCTGAGTTGGGCTCCACCCTCAGTCTGCTTAAGACTCACTCTCTCTTAAAAGGTGGGGCTGCCTGGTCGCTCAGTTAAGCATCTGACTTCAGCTTGGGTCATGATCTCAGGGTCCTGGGCTTGGGCCTCAGCGGCAGGCTCCCCACTGGGTGGGTAGTTTGCTTGTCTCTCTCCCTCTGCCCCTCTCTCTGCTCATGCTCCCTCTTTCTCAAATAAGTAAATAAAATCTTAAAAAAAAAATTAAAAATCCACGACACAGAAACATCTGAAAGAGAGGGGAACTGCTTTGAATATGATTGTACTTAGAGGGTTTGGGGTAATGCTGGATTATCTTGGTGGCGTGCAACAGGGAGCCTAGTGATTTGGAATTGTCTGCTTCCAGGTTTTACCACGCACTGTGATAAGAATACGGGAGTATACGGGAAAGACACGTCTTCATTCTTTAGTAGATTCTAGAACATCCCTGGGCATAAGTAGGGCCCTCAGACAGTTCTTGTACATATCTATATAATCACCGCCCCTCATGCTGGGTGCACCCCCACCTTTTCACTACATTGCACTTCGGCTGAGTGCTCCCTGCTTACGCGAGGAAGCACCATAAAGCAGGGCAGGAACTGCACTTTGGGATCTCTTGTTGAGATGGTTTTGAAGCTCAATATCCCTCCCTGCTCTGATTCTGCTGGGGGAACTCAGTGCCTGGGAGGGATGCCTGTTGGCAACCAGCAGGCTCTCATCTGATCGGGTGCCTCTCTACTGTTACGAAGCGTAGGCCCTCTCGGCTAGTGCTCGTGAGGCTCTCTGATTCTCGCGCTGTTTTATAGGTGACTCACCCTAATGTATGTGTGCCCATGGAAGAAGTGGCATAAGACAGGTGCTTATCTCTGGGAAGGGAATGGGATGGTGGCGCGGGGGGCAGGTGAAGAGAGACTTGTGCATTTTCATGGTCTCAGTGCTTCGCAACCTTGTTTCCATCATCGCTTTCCCAAAGAAAGTCTGTAGAAGTTTTTCCTAATTGCTTCCTGACTCCCACACATTTAGTACAAAGGAATAGAGTTTGTTGGGGAGGGTCACAGATTCTTGTAACGTCTCCAGGGGTTTTCACCGCCCACCATGAGAACCTATTTTCACCCCTTTGAGGGGGGCAGTATCACCCCCATTGAAAATGCACTCTACATACTTCTGTACCATTTATTATTTTTTTAAACAAGTGTTATTTTAGAAGTCCAAAAGAACAGTCATGCAGCTAGACAGGATTGAGCTGCCTTTCAACCAGAGGGTGACTCCACACTGTTGCTCTTCGTTCCGGGAAGCGAGGGGGGAGGGCAGGAAGGGCAGAATGCTGACGCCACACTTGGCCCTAGCGTCAGCCCCAGCAGGGGAGGAGGGGGCGGGCAATGAAGATGCCAGCAGGGTGGGAGCAGGACAGGCAGGAGGGCAGTCGCCTGGCCCCAGTGCCCCAGAGGCCTTTTTCTGTCTTCATTTTCTTCACCTCTTGAATGTATGATCATATTCAGCAAGGGGGATGTTGGTGAGCTTTAGTGAAGAGCTTGCAGCAGGTGTACCCAGTCAGGGTACCTAAGTCACTGGGAAGTGTGCCTGCCTGGGGCGGGGGGTGGGCAGGGCGCTGGAGAAGTGGTGTTCAGTGGTGTTGGCACGGGGGGGTGGGGAAGAGGCATGGCTGAGAAGAAGGGGGCCACTGAGCACTTGGGCAGAAACTCTGAGAAAGTGGCTTGGGAAGATCAAATCTTGGGGAAGAGTGAAGAAAATGATGTTTATAAATAACTTGGAAGAGCGATTCTAAAAAAAATTTTTATTAACATATAATGTATTATTTATTTCAGGGGTACAGGTCTGCGATTCAACAGTCTTACACAATTCACAGTGCTCACCATAGCACATACCCTCCCCAATGTCTATCACCCAGCCACCCCATCCCTCCCAT